ATATATATATATATATATACACACAAACAAGCAATGCACACACAATGTACTACCATAAATGTTGGGATGGAGTGGATGTTTTGACTACTTGGGTTAATGGGATCCGGTGAGGTAAAGGGGGAATATAGCAATATCAAAACCCCAAATCAATATAAAACAAAATGACGTATAAGTTAGCCAGAACAAAAACACAACAGCAGCCCCCTTATGACCAGCACTAGTGCTGGAATAATAGTTTCAAGAATGGAGAGAATTCCCCAACAGGCTCCCAAGCAAAAGCTATTTGTGTTTAAGTGCACTACATTGACAAAGATCTTTAGTTGTGAAAAGCTCCTTTGGGAGCAATGGGTGGTATGTTTCTGATGGAAGATGAACTTGTTTCGCTAAGGGGAATTTTTTATATTTATTCTGTTTTAGTGATCTAATTATAAAGATTAAAGAAAATACTCAAGCATTTTATTATATATTTTTATTTAGTAATCTTTCAATTATTTAAACAGAAATTTTCAAGCAATGTACCATAATCCCCGATAAAATTAGCTTTCTTGCAACTGCAACTATAACATTTTTACAGAAATAAGATATTTAGTAATGAACAACTTTGTTCAATCATCTTAAGATAGTGTTCTGGAGATCTGGCTGATGGCCAGGCGTCTGAAGCCTGGAGCTGATCTACAACATTTGGCCTTGGCCAGTGCTCTGACAGCCTCAGTTGGCAGTGGTATCTGTAGCCAAACCACCTCAGGGCTTTTCCCATTAGAATACATAATGCGGAACTAGTCATTTGGAAAGGCTCCAGATCGTGCTCTTCAAAACCCTTTTAGATAATTTGCTGTCTTGCCCTCCACCCACACCCAGAATTCTCCACCCCTCCACAGCCAACTGACCCCCCCGCCAATTTGGAAGCCTTGACTGGTGCCGTGACCTCAAGGGCAGGAGTCCCAGCTGAGGAGAAAGGGCAGCTGCCAACCACCACCACTTCAACCCTGACCATCCAGATGATCACGTTTGTCAAGCCGCCCCTCCGTGTCACCCTGAACTGGTTTGATCATCCAATTAGGCTAGGTCACGGTCTGCAATCTCTCCCGATTTACAAGACAGTGAACGAGTATGAGAAAAGAAAGTGAGGATGAAAGTATATGCACTCATATGTTTATTATATATATTGTTTATTATATATATATCCATTCAGATTCAAGCTACAAAAAATGTGATATAATTCTTAGATACATTTGGAGCTTGTTTCACGCCTATAGATTCCCAAAACCACCAGTCTGAATATGTGAAACCACTACTTAAAAAAAAACAACAACAACTAACCAATCCAGAGAACTAAAATGCATAATTTTCAAACTTATAGTCAACTTAACTCTCAACTCAAGTGGTTGACCCTTCAACAGACAAGACAATACAATAGCAATTATCGTGTGGACAGTCCAAGTGCTCAGAAAGGCTTTGTGTAATGGCAGTCATGACCCCATGGTTCCTGAGGGCTCAGGTAGGAGGCATTAGAGTTTAGGGGCGCATTTAAAAGCAATACAGATTTTCCCACAGAAATTTGCAGATGTGTGTCTTGAGACGGTGCAGCAAAGCTTGCAAGATTTTTGATTTAAGCTGGACATCAGAAAATGTTCTTAAGGATACTAGTAATGCTCAGCATTGCCTAATGCAACTCAGATGCAGCTTCTGTTATGTAAATTTGGAGGAAAATATTGAGTATTGAAATAGGATGATGAATTTGTTTTTCCTGAAAACATGTTTATCATTTAACAAACTATATGCATAATAATTTTTTACTTGTAAAGGAAACAACTCATCTAAACTAATTTTAAATTGTAAAGTAACTTAAAAAAATACCACTTAATTTGAAATCTAACTGCAATAACACTAATAAAGTAAAATGTGTGGTAAAACAAAAAAAAGTATTATAATGGGCAAAAGATGCATATTTTTATTACTTCATTACATGGTTTATTTCAAATCACAACTGATTCATTCATTTATATATATATATATATATATATATATATATATATATATACACACACAAAAAAAAAAACACACAAAAGAAACAACAGTGGTGTAATTACAGAAAATGTAGTCAGTATTGCCCCCATGTGGATGCACTTATGTATGCAAATGCTAATATAATATTCAATGAACACATTTACTCTGTATTTGCATACACAATATTTAAATCAAATGAGCAGTAAACAACAAAAACAAAATAAATAAAAATAACTATTTGGGAAAAAAAAAATACTAAATTGTGTTTATTTATGGGTCATCTAGGTTTTGGTCGAGGGGGTTTACCCTCGCATTGTACAGGTGAGGGATCTTGTCTAGATTTCTGTCTCTGTTGCCTAAGCAATCTCCCAGTTTCACTCACCGGCGGTTGTCCTTTCCCAAGCAAATACTGCTCCCATTCTGGTAGTTTCCGTTCAACTGAGGCCCAATAAAGAGTCTATGTCAGGACAACAAAAGATCAACTTATTTACAGGAGCAGATAAATGTTTACTTCTTTATTACATTCTTATATCCTAAGCAGGTAAAACATTCCATGCTGGCATCTACAGCAGTTGTCCTGTCATATAAAAAAAAAACACGTTGTGCTATAACCGCCCCTTTTCAATTAATTATGATGGCTCCGATGGGCACACAGTTTCTCGGGGGAAAGATGCTGTTGGCATCATCTACACATGCAAAAAAGCACTTCAAATGCAACATTTACTATAACCTGCTTTCAAAAATGAAACACTGCACAACAGTTTTATTTTATGAGACAGAAAATAAGGACGTAAGCTGGTCTAATACCTCAAGGTTAATAATATCTGGATGAAGGAGCTGTCTGGTTTGAAGATTTTTTTCAGCATTCTGAAAATCCTACAAGAAATAAGCACAAAATTTACAAAATACAAAAATGTCACTAAATGCATTTTAAACATACGCAATTAAAGCGTTTAATCTAATTAGGCAAGAAGTTAGGCCATGAATTCTGAAACTGAAAAAAGAAAAAAAGAAAATATGCATATGCTACAGTTTATTAAAAAAGGGGTATGCAAGACAGAAAAAATAACAAAATGGAACTGAACGGCATTTAAATGAAGTTGCTGATAATGTCATGCAGATTTTTGTATTTTTTAAAAGTTTGAACAGAATGTCACGTGTCAGGCCAAGACAAGCCAACTAATAAATCTCAGAATAAAAAAGTAAACCATCCATTATTAATACCTGCTCATGCTTATTTTTTTTTTAAATGTCACTTCCTGTGAGATGATGTTAATTTGTGACACAGAAAAGACGTGACTACCAGTTAAAAACAGCACTATAAGAGCTCTAAGGCGGTGATATATACACATATAACGTTAGAGTACACAGCAGAGAAACCTGAAGGATCTGAGCATTCCTCTCCTTCGCTGCTTGAGACATCAAACACTGCTGTTTCTTCTTAGCCTTCTGCTGTTCATAGTGTGCTTCCATCTGCTGCAGCAGTAATGCTCTTTTCCCCAGTCTACATGAGACTAATTACAGTCATTAAGCCGTGTAGTTTCAAAACAAGGAATGAATGATTACAATTATGACTGAGAGTGGCTTTTTAATCGACACCTGCAGCTCTGTTCTCAAGAACAAACTGAACGGACTCACATATCTTTATGTTTCTGACTGAGTTCAAACTCTTCGTGTGTATAAGAGGCCATCTGATGTAGTTTCAAAGACATGGAAAGAAAACTCAAACTATGTTACCTGACTGAAACGTTATCAAAAGATCGCTACAACATGCATTAAAAAAAAAGAAGAAAAAACAAAAACAAACAACGTCACATTGTCATAACAACCGCCGCCACTATAACATCCGGGGTGCGGAAATGACCAGTAGCCCACTCGTGAACGAAAGATTAGGACAAGTGCGCCATCTACTGTTAGGAAGAGTTGATCCTTTGTTTGAATGAACATAGGCTACCTTTAGAGGGGTTTGGGTTCTTACATGTATTTATTATATATTATTATTAACTGAATTAATAAATTATTAAATTGGAGTCATCTTAAATGATCCGTTTCCTTTATTTTGATGATATATCAGTTATAAATTGAATGCACACTAGAGCTTCAAAGAATCGTTTAATTAATGAAGCATATCGGGGTAGGACTAGTTAAAAACAGCTTTGCAATTCAGTGTTACAGCTCATCTTTACGTTGTGGTCTGTGTGCATAAAAATCAAGAAATTAAGCAGATTCACTGGAAATAAATCTGAGCTTTATAGAATCTAAGCAGAATCCATGCTGGTTCATAACACACAAACAAACACACAAATCCCTGTACAGAAAATCAGTAACAAACTTGTTTTTGTCCGTCTTTGGTTACTGCATTTTGTTATATTTTCAATGATTCAGCAGATACTTTATATCTACTGTAGGTTCTATACTAATGTTTACTGGTCTCACTATTTTATCAGTGGAGGGACTATTGACTTTAACTGCATCAGTAATACACTAAAGCTATTTTAGTGTTAAAGACTGATACAGTTTAGATGTTTATCACATTCACACTGATAATCACTGGTTTTAAATGATCCACCTACATGAATGACATAATTTGGTGAAAAAATAGGGACTGAAAGCTCAGAACTTGCTGTTCCGGTCGACCATCCATCTAATTCACAATTGAGATATTTAACGTTCTCTCAGTTTATACAGCACAGACTCCTAACTGTCATCATGTGACACTCTGTTACACATTTCTTTCTGATTACCACTCCTACAGAGGAAATCATAAAATAAATAAAAGGGTTGCAAGACACATTAATGTATGACCAGAACAAAGCTGAAAGCCTTTTAGCTTCCCCTGAATCCGATTAAACCATGAAAGGCCCATTGACATGTTATAAATCAGTTTATTGAACTTGTAAAGGTAGGGAAACATGTCAACAGAATCCACAAAAGTGAAATACCACACACATCATGTCATACACTTAATTAGTGTCCTGAAAAACAGTTAAAGCATTTTCTGCAATAAGAAGAGTTTAGTTAAGCTAAAATCTGAGAAAAGACACTTCAGCTCCATATTGTCATTTAGATAATGCGGTCTCAAATAGAAACCCTACAGTCAAGTTCCTTCCTCTGCTTTGTGCTTACTTATAATTGGATTTCACAATTAAGGTTTCATAAATTTAGAAGGTGTCTGTTTAAAAACCATTTAAAGAGCTGTTTTGTTACATTCATAACATGTATAAACACTGTTTAATAAAACAGCAGGTGTCAGTCTGTGTGCACTTTTTATAGTTTCTGAATCAATGGGTTACATTCCCCTCTTACGGAACGGAAGTAACAAAAGTTAAAAGTAGAGATTAAATAAATTAACGATGAGAAATCTCCTTTTCCTCTATCCCAGTTCATGTCACTTTCACCACTGATATTTCTAATAAAGGTTCACACAAAACCCTCTATTTAACGCCATAAAACAGAAGCATACCCAAATACCAGAAATATACTTGTGTTTTTATTAAGGGCTTAAAAAAAAACCAAGAGAATATATACAGAAAATATACAAATATCAAGGCAATCAATCAATCAACTTAACCAAGGCGTCTGGAGAGAGCAAATGCCAAAATAACAAACAAATCAGTCTTGCTAAAAGTTATAACAAAACAACTTCCCTGGCAAAAGAAAACAAAATTAAAGACAATAATCTCACCTCTCTCCCTGACTAAAGAAAAACAGGTGAAAAATTTAGAAGGGGATAAACCCAAATAAATCGGCGCCCATCTCCCTACACGGTTTGACAGAACTAGACTCACACAGAATCTTAACAGCAACGTCGTTGTAACCACACTTTAGGCTTACATTTCACAAGTTGCTTAACAGCAAATAAAACAACACCGTCTCTGGGATAGCGGATAAGAGACTCCTCCTGAGCTGTGGCTCTCTGCTGCTTTATATCTGATGAAGTCAAAGATCAGCTGAAGATCCGCAATAACAAGTCATAAAACAGTAAATTGCTCACTTCTCTATTCTAAAAAAATGAAATTCTAAAGAGATAACAACTGTAGACCTTGAGTCAATGTCATTGCCATGTCTTCTATCAATGTTCAAATAAGTAAAAATGAAGGCTATAGGTTAAAAAAGGCCTTTACAGGTATTTTGCCAAATTGGGAACAAAATAGCAGAAAGAAGCAGTTCTAGACAGAACTGGCACATTCTCTTTTTTGCTAAATGTTTTTGCTAGATCTTTTTACACATACAAAAGACTAGGAAATGGTGATTGTAAACTGTTTATTCCCACTGGTCCACAAGCGTACACACTTTACAAAAGTGAATATTCGTGCAAGCATGTTTCTGAATTATTCAAAATAAGCAACAATCATTAAAAAAAAATCATACATAAAAATGTTAAAATGATTTAAACATTTACTGGTGCTAATTTTCCTATAGTGCAGCCTTGATTCATCAACAGAAGTTTTCATTTAATTAATAAAATAAATAAAAAAATAAAGGAACAAATGCTGAAACCTCTATCATCAGGAGCATCACAAGACATGCTTGGTGATGTAGCTGTTGTCATATTAACATCACCATCATCAATATTATCTTTTCATCTCACTTTTCTATGCTTTTATTGTTTTCACATTTACATTTATGCATTTGGCAGACACTTTTGCCCAAAGTAACCTCCACTGCATTCAAGGTATACAGTATATTTTGACAGTTCACTATAATTACGTTTTTCCTTCATTTATTTTGTCCCTGCTGTTCACTCACTTTGCTGCTTATTACATGTAGCATGACTGAATTTTTAACTTTTGCTATGTACCTCATCTGACAGAATCTTCTTGGGGCCCCAGACAAACTGTTCTTGGGGCTTGAAATGCTTAAAGGCAAATCTAACCAGCTCTCGTCTCTCTGACTTGTCCAAAACAGCAAACATAAAGTAATCTAGTACACTTTGTTTTAGACTTTGAAGGTGTCCCACCACAAGAGTTTCATGGAGGAAGAACTTGACCAGTGGGGCCTGGTAGTGCTTCAATCCTAGAGTCCCCAGACACTTCAAGATGCGTGTGATGCGAAGGTTGTTGTGTGAATATCTGCAAAATCAAAGAAAAAACTCTAACCACTGAAAATGCCTAAAAGTATATGAAATTCAACAAAAAGGAAAAACATGACAACACAAACCTGTTCAGGTTTCTAAAGCGATCCTTCCAGTTAGGAGCCCGTTCCACATCTCCTGTTGATTCATCGACTAAACATATACCGTAGAAATCCAACATGAGCTTATATGATTTCACCAATTTACTCTTTGCTTGTTTATCTTTATGGAAACACTGGGGAAAAAATGGAGCAGATGAATTTAAACTTTGTCTGTTTTTCTAAACGCCTTAACCTGCTTCTGAACTGAGACTGATGTTTCTTCCCAAATATGATCAGTCCTATCAGATAAATACTTCATAAAAAGGTTAACCCAAAAATGAATATTCTGTAATCATTTATCACCTTCATGTCAAGCCAAAAATTTACAGAACTAACCCATAATTGGATCTATCCAAGTATTTTGAAGAGACATGATTGCTTTATATGAACAAATACAATGTAGGCTTTTATTCACATAAACATTGATCAGTGCACATACTCTACATATAACCACATCATATATAAACAACAAGAGGGTGATTAAATGAAATGTTCCCTAAAAAAAAATCACTTTTTGGATGAACATCCCTTTAGGTTAGTTGATAAATAAAGCAAAAAATTACATGTTTTAAACTGACCTTTATTTCCTTTTTTGTGAGCTCATGTGCTCTCAAGTTTCTTCCTTTTTCTTGTAATGGAAACAGCCTGCAAAGATTTGAAATGGTTAGTTGAATGATGGCCATTCAAAACACTTATATATAATAATTAATACAGATTTAACCACTGCGCATAGATGTTGCAACAGGCTCTAACCAATGAATGTAGGTCAAAACTATTTCCAGCTTCTCATATTCACCCCACCACTGCTGGTGAAATTCATCAATGTAAACATCTGCACAAACAAAGGTAATATGTTTAAGAACATGCTTTCTTTGAATGTAACTTGCATAGGATAAATACAAATAAATAGTGTGATTTAACTATAGAACGAGCACAAGGCCATACCGTCATGTGAAGATTTTATTCGACCATTGTAAAAGTCCAAGTTATAGAAGCGGCCCTTGTGAACAAATTAAAATAAAAATACTTTACAACCCAATTCCCAATCATCTTCTCCAAATCAAGAATACACAGTGGGCTGTGAAACCAAATAAAGCGTTGTGTAAATAATACACTAAACATATTGTACAATGACATGCTAGAGGAGGCAAATTCTGAGTGTAATAGTAGAAACAGGCGATGGATTACTTACTTCATGTGGTTCATCATCATCGTCATCATCATCATCAAAGTTCTATACAAAACAAATACAATACAAAATTATCATGTAATACATAGTTTTGACATAAATTAGTAGACAGTAGGTTTTCACAATATTTAGACATTTTGTATTTAGATTCTCACCTAAAAAAATTCTCATAAAAATATGTTAATGGATGAATGTGGGTTGGCATGTTTATTGTCATCATCAAAGTTCTAGACAAAACAAATACAATACAAAATTATCATGTAATACATAGTTTTGACATAAATTAGTAGACAGTAGGTTTTCACAATATTTAGACATTTTGTATTTAGATTCTCACCTAAAAAAAATTCTCATAAAAATATGTTAATGGATGAATGTGGGTTGGCATGTTTATTTTAAATAGAGGAGTGGGGTAAGATGTGCCAATACCAGTGTGTAAGCAGTCACATTCATGTTTAGAAGTTTTTCTAAAAAAAAAAAAAAGTCTTATTACCCTGGCTGGCTGTATAATTTATATGCTAATTTAAGAGTTAGGGGATCAGATATCTTCATTAAAAATGCGGCACAGCTTTACCCCACTCTTCCTTGTTTGAAGGTAAATAAACCTACTCTGCAACTATGTCGAAAGTCTTGCATCTCCTTTGCAGCATTCATGTTCCTGCAGCTTCTCCTGTGCAACACCTGTAATCATGCGCAGAAATCTCAAATGAGACTGTTGTTTGTAAAATCTTTTCATATTCATAGATATTCGAAGAAATAGAAAGTGGAAAGAATGGGAATTACTATACAACAGCGTTTCTAAAAACAGGTAGGGTTTATTCAACAACAACAATCATAATTAATAATAGTAATAATAATTGTCTTCAATCAAAAAAGATAGATGAGAACGGCGTAGATCACGTGGTATCTGTTATAAACACTGTTGGTAAGGTTACTTTGGAAATGTAATAGGTTACAGATAAGTAGTGTAAATATTTAAATTACTTCATTAAACTAGTGTAACTAATTATAATTGAATACTTTTGGATTATTTCTAAATTTCTAATAAATGTTTTCAACTGTTAATCATTTTCAAACATTTAAACCAGGCAGGGTTAACCTTACAGTAGTACTCAGCACTGATTACTGTCAGACTTTCAAAATCCTTCATCACTTGAATTAAGATTATAGCAATTGAATGTGTCCTATTCTGTGTCATAAACTCCTGAAACATTGGTGTTTTATTAGATGTTGGTGTTTTATTGGTTATTTTAGAGCAGTCAATGCAATTTGGGAAAGAAATCAATTAAATCTTTGTGTGTGTGTGTGTGTGTGTGTGTGTGAGAGAGAGAGAGAGAGAGAGAGAATAGGCCCATGGATGTAACCCCCTTTGTAATCGTTAACATATTCATAAGTAGCCTAACATTTTAATTACACATTTTTTTCTCAGTAATTGCAACAGATTACAGTTACATTTATTTTGTAATTAAATTACGTAACTCCATTACAACACTGCTATACAAGTGCGTTAGCTAGTAGGCAAGTATAGTTCATAAATAAAATCAAAAATAGAACCGTAGTTAAACATGACTACTTTACTAAGAAATGCAAGGTTGCTACTGATGTGTGCACAACTGCACGCTGTTTTAAGATGAATTAAAACATCAAAAGAGACTACCAGGAAATGAAAATCAATTACATAGCACTGAAATCCAAGCATACCTTCTTTCTGGGTGTTTTATGTTCGTATTCGTCTTCCCATGTGGAGTCCAATTCGCACTCATCATCTGACTCCATGTCAAGTATATTATTATAATTATGCAAACGCTGGGGCCCGATTCACGAAAATCTTTAACGAAATCTTTCACGAAAAGGAAGAAGTTAAGACATTTCTTAAGATAAATCCAAGAAGTTCGTAAGTGCAATTCCTATTAAAGTTCTGAAATATTTTCATAAGAACTTCACTCTTATTTTCCTCAGGAAGAGAATGGCAGGCGTTGGCGTTATCTGTAGGACGGTTCTTGCTGAATACGATCAGCTTTGCGCTGCCTGCAGTTAACTGCAGTTTTTATTTTGTGAACCCGGCCCCTGGTTAAGACAAAGTCAATATATTTTTATATATTAAAAAATGTAAAGCAGACACAAGAATGTAGGCTCTATGAATTGCTCAACCACTCCCACTGTCAAGAGAAATTTAAGGCTGAAGGTCATGGTGAAACGAAAGTGTTTCTAGTAAAGTACAACAAGTAACAGATTCCCGTTTATTCAAGGGTTGCCATGTCTGACAATAATATTCAGAATTCGTCAAAAAAACGAAGGTTAAATAGAATCAAAGGCCTAAACGAAACTGACACATATATTTGCTTTTTGCAGGATCAAACTTAGATAATAATCTTTATTATCTTTAATAATAAAAATAAATTTTCCCATATAAAACAGACTAACAGATATAGTAAAAATAGTCAATATAATATAGTGATATAGTAAAGTATAATAAATAATATAGTAAAAATATTCAGGCTTGGTGGTCTATTCTTGATTTTAATATAGCCTACTGGGTTAAAAAAGTAAAACAAAATGACAGGAGAAGGTATCTTTCAATTGTTTATTCCCACTGAAACACAAGAGTAGGCCTACATAGGCTAATTTACAAAAGTTTACACAATTTAAGGAGATTTTATAAAGACAGTTTACCGTCATGTAATGCGCTTGTGTGTGTGTTTATTTATTTATTTATACAACAGTTCTTTCTGGCCAGTTCTCGGTCAGTTCTTCTGAAATTTGCATAAATGTAACGGGCAGTCTTTGGTCTCATTAATCTATTAAGTAAGACATCTTTTTCTTATACATAGTTTAGTAGCCTACTAGTCTTTTTGGCAGAATTTATCATTATAATCAACTTAATTATTTCCTGGATTTTGTATCACCATATTTCCTAAATGTATGTAAATGCAGGAATTGGGATTCAAATGGAAAACACCCCCACCCACCCACTTCTCAAACCAATGTTACACCCTTGTAAATAATAGTGGTATGGTATTTAATAATAGTAGTATTGAGAAACGGTGTGTGTGTTCGTGATGGTGATTTTAGTTATATTATTCCGCCATTAGATGGCGACAAGAGACAGTGGGTGCTTCTCAATTCTTCTTTGTGCGTCCTCGTTTCCTTTCGAACGGAGGACCTGACCTGTTATATATAAACATAAACAGAGTAGATTTTTTTTTCAGGTTGAGATGAATAGAAAGTTAGAAGAACAGCATTTATCTGAAATAGAAGTCTTTTGTAAAATGATGAATGTCTTTATCATAACTTTTGATCAATTTAAAGCATCCTTGCTAAATAAAAGTAATAATTTATATAACTACCAAATGATAATAATAATAATTTCTTGAACAGCAAATGAGCATATTAGAATGAAGGATCATGTGGCACTGAAGATAGTGATGATGCTGAAAATTCAGCTTTGATCACAGAAATAAATGACATTTTAAAATATATTCAAATCGAAAGCAGTTTTTCTAAATAGTAAAAAATATTTCACAATATTACTGCTCTTGCTGTACTTTGGACCAAATAAATGCAGGCTTGGTGAGCAGAAAAGACTTCTTTAAAAACATTACTGTTCAAAAACTTTTGACTAGTAGTAGTGTATATTTGTATGAAATATAGGTTTGTTAAATCTAGTGTATTTGAGTCATTTTAATATAAATAACATTATGTGCTAACAAACTGAAATGATGTGGTTGTTTTCAACATGGTGGACAGAGTTTTATTCATAAAAGTTGACCTGCTGGTCAAGAAGTGACAGGCAAGAAAAAAAAGGGAGAGACAGAAATATTGGGGAAAATGAAGAAAAGGGAAAGAGAAGTGAAGTGAAGGTGCAGTGCAAGAGAGAACCTTTAATTATTTTCCACAGCCTTAGACTTAGGATTTAGACCTTTTTATGTGATGGTCATACAAATAACAGAGATGTCTGTGGTTTCAGAAATTGTTGTGGATGCATAGGCTATATAAAAAGGGGCCCAAATGGCACCTTTTGGGGTACAACAGCTTGTCACTGGAACAGGACCCTTAAAAGGACATCTTTGTTCCTTTTTTACCCCTAATAGGTAGGCCTACATATTAGTACCTTAAGGGTATGAATTACTACTCTAAGGTACTAATATGTACCTATTAGGGGTAAAAAAAAGCAAAAACAAAAAGGTACAAAGATGTCCTTTTAAGAGTACTGCTAAGGTGACAAGCTGTTGTACCCCAAAAGGTAAAATTTTGGTCCCTTTTTTTCTGTGTGGCCTGGATGAGTGTGAGATTTCCCGGCCTGAAATTACGTCCCAGTCTGGCCCTGCATATCACACTGCTACTCGTGTGATATTGTTCATATATATATATATATATATATATATATAGGTGATGGTGATGATAACTATAACATAACACCAGCAAACATGTCATAACCCCCCCCTTCTGAATAAGTACAAAAGATGTATTTTCTTAATTATCACTAATACAATTCATGGAAAGATGGCAGAATTTAAATGTATTGAACATATACTTAATAAAAACAGAGCTATATGTCATTAATATCTGTAAAATACGTAAATTAGCCAATTTTGTTTAAATGAAGGATTGCATAAATGAGTACACCCTAGATTTAATTCACCAAATGTATAATATTCTAGTACCTACTTAGTATGTTCTCCATAATTTTAAGTGTACTGCTCTGACCCTTCTTGGCACTGAGTTCTTGAGAAATTGTCACATCTGTCCAGTTTAACTCCTGGAGGATGACCTACTTAAATGCCCTGGTCACCTCATCTTTACAGAATCCCCCACAGGTGCTCAAGAGTGTTAAGATCGGGTGAAATACGTGTCCACTGAAAGGTTTTCACCTTGGGAGAATGCATATAGTCATTGTCATGTTGAAAAAATGCTCAGCAACGCAGGGAATGAGGAGACGGTAGCATCTTCGGTTTCAAGTTTTTGTATTCCATCACACAGTGACAGCATTGATAAAACACAACACTCTCACACCTTCAGCGCTCATTCATCCCTATATAAGAGCTTTAAAGGGGTCATATGATGCTTTTTTTTAACCCTTTCGCACGCGAGTTTACAATATTCTAGCTGAGCCCCCAGCGTGAGTTTTTTTTAGGTGACCGCTATTTTAAAATATATCGCCTTTTTGTTTCCATGGCGACGCGTCATGCTTGTCATGTGACACAACTCAGCCACAATAGATCTGTGTGACACATGGATGGCTTTTATTTCGTTTTTCCTGTTTTATTCAAAATATTCACAAACATGCTCACTATATTATGAAATATCTGATATTCCGATTCTGAAATATGTGCAATTAAATCTGTTTCGTAGTTTAAACACTTTTATATCGACCGTGTTAGTTGATCTATACCGGGTGATGGGTGCCGCCATGTTAGTTCGCGCTGAATCCGAGCTGTGGGATTTACAACACGCAAATTCATCCTCTCCTCCCGAAACACGTTAAAGTAAGTCTCCGGTAAACTGGGAGAAGAGCAGAGTAAACGTTATAGTTACCTACACAATCTGTATATAATATCAATAAAAACATGTCGTCAGATTTTATTTGTAAGGATGATTATTGCCGTTTCCATAAACATCAGTGTGCATTTTACAAACTGTAAATGTATGGTTTTGCTAGTACTTATGTGTATTTAAATGTCTGAAACCTAAAATAAGTATTATATGGTTGAAAACAATTAATATTTGCGATAATATGACAAGTGCTTAGCGCGTCTGATCTGGCTCCGTGCCAGGCAAAGCGCGAAAGCGGATGTAAATTCAGCAGTTGATGACGTGACGCACTGAAAGTTCTAATCACACCGGTGTGATCGTACACTTCAGGGACCAGCCAAGACTGATCACACCGGTGTGATCGTACGCTTCAGGGACCAGCCAAGACTGATCACACCGGTGTGATCGTACGCTTCAGGGACCAGCCAAGACTGATCACACTCCACTGTGATGTCTCGCTCTCTCGCTCTCGCTCTCTCTCTCTCTCTCTCTCTCTCTCTCTCAAAACTCCGCATTTGAACAGTCAATACAGTAAAACAGCAGCTGATTCAGAAGCGCCAGATTGTCATAGCAAAGTCAGAATTACCTCCTCTCCTAGGTTCACGAAACGGTCGTCCATAAAATGCATTGCTGTTCTGTTGTAAGTAATCTTAAAGATTCCTAAATGCATCTATTTCCGGAAGGCCAAATAAGGTGCTTTTGCTTTTGCCTAGAAACACACAGTGTCTCCCTGACATGCTGCTTCAACACTAACTGCGGTTACTGAAACCACGCCTTCTTTCTTTGCGTGAACATTTGGCCGGCATTATGCGAATATTTCCACATAGTGAGGTAGATATGTGGGGGCGTGTTAGAACGAGCCGTTTTAGGGGGGCGTGGCAGAGTCTTAACTTTGATAAAGAATATCTCTTTGGTTTTGAGACTTTAGTCTTTGCAACTTCAGGGATCTTATCTATGCACAATAAGCTTGTAACACCCCAAAGAGAAAGGAAAACTTGAAATCGCATCATATGACCCCTTTAAGATGTGTTAACCAATTAATATAAGAAACTGTACACACTTTTTGCTTTTTTAATGCTTTCTTTTAGGTTAGAGTTACAAGTAATAAGTCGCATTAGGTTCCTGTTTCATTTCTCCTTATCTAGAAAAGGACAACTGCATTAAAATGTGGCACAGCTTTACCCCCCTCTTTCTTATTTTAAGGAAACTCACTCACTCAACTATGTCGCAAGTCTTGCATGTCC